ACAAAATAGAGTCTTATTTAAGGAGCATTCAATAATTTCTCCTTTCTCATAGGTTTAATTCAATGCTTTCAGCCGTCAAATTAAACATGCCTCAATAGTGATTTAGAAAAAAAAATATAAAAAGCTTACAGTGTTGGTATAATTATATTATTATTTTTTTAGATTTTAATTTGAATAATATTTTGTTTTCTTTTCATTAATAATTTGTTAGTTATATGAATTGAAAAATATTATTGTCATATTTTTTTACGAAATTATATCGTTTATGTTGTTTATTTCAATATTTTCACACCATCTAAATTAGTTTCAATTCATTTAATTTTATTAAAAAGGAAATCATTGTAATTATGTTAACATTGTGAGACCCTATCTGTTGGAGCGAAAAAAAATTTCTAATTAAAAACATTTTCTACGAATTTTATTTTTTTTGTAGAAAATATTTTATGGAGAAAATATTTTTCTATGTTTTGTATTGGTGATAGTGGAATGAAGGTGAAGGTAAAGTTGAAGATGGTGGCATGGTGGTGGGGTGGCAGCAACGGTGATAGCGACTGTGATGGTGGCAGTAGCTGTGGTGATAGTGGTGTTGTGGTGGTAGTGTGGTGACATTGGTAATAATCCATAAAACTTTTCTTGTCTTTTAAAAGTGAAAAATATTTTTCTGCCTATATAAACTTATTTGCTGTTGATTGTGAAAAATGTTTTTCGTTAGACTTTCGTTTTCTATTATACTAAATACTAAAAAATACAAGAAATATTTTTTAGAAAACATTTTCCGCCCAACCAAGAGCATTATTGTATTTTTTTGTAAAACCTAAGAGGAAGTCAATTTGAATGTATTAATGAATGTGTTACTATATTTATTTTTTTACAATAATATTACAAACAAAAACTTAACAATCGAGAAATTACTCAAAATTATCATTTTGTAATTTAGATTTATTCTATATATAAATTTCACAGTACATAAATTTAATTTCAACCACACAATACTCATTCAGGGTAAATTTGAAGTACTAGGGTAGGGTTCATAGCATTTTCCTTTTTTTTATTTAAAAAAATAAGAAATTACATTATAAGTAAATTGTTTTTTATCCCTCAATTAAAAAAAAAAAAAAAAAAAAAAAAAAACCTGACTTATCACATCTCACTTGTAAAAATTTCAACAATGTTACAAGCTCATAATTTTACTCAAACACACGTAGGGATGGCAATTTGAACCCTAACCAACGGGGACCCGGACCACCCCGCCCCGATAAGTTGGATTTTTTTCCAAAATTATCCTTCATAGGACCGAAGTTGGTACTAAATAATAGATCCCCGATAATTTTCAAGCCGGGGATAGAGATAGATTCCCCCTCCCCGACCCAACCCAAATTATCCCAGATATCCCTCTATATATATATATTTACACTCGCTTCACTTCACAAATCTCAAGACTCAAATCTCTCTCTCTCTTGTCTATGCCTTCTCTCTCCTCCTCTCTCTTCTCTTTGTGATAACGACGACAGCTGTGAGGGCCATAGTGGCTCAAATGAGCTTTTTGACACAGGTATGGAACTTTCTCAGCCTATCATTGCTTCTCTCTTGGACTTTCACCTCCTCTATTTCCTCCAACACTAATCTAAGGTCTCCAACACAGGTATAGAACTACCCCTCTCTCTCTTTTTCCTCCTCTCCCAGCTCTTAATTTTTGGTAAGTCTTCCTTACATTTGAGATCTGATAGATGATTGTAGAAATTGTTCTTGAATGTCGGTATGATTTGAGGCTATTTTGATGAAATTCATGTTTGTTTCTGTTGATTTTGGAGGTGAAATAATCGGTTTCGATGATCATGACAAAACTGTTTTTGTTGTTTATTTATTTATTTTTTTGGGCCAAGGAATTTTCGAGATCGGGGAAACCTGATCCCCGTTAGGGGGCGGGGGCGGGGGCAGGGATTGTGATAGGTCCCCGTCGAGAATCGAGGTCGGGGATAGAAGGTGTGATCTTGGCCCCGGCCCCGGCCCGTTGCCATCCCTAAACACACTTGTGTAACTCAAATTCTTTTGACTTTACAATATACCAATTAAATCTCAATCACTTATTTAATCTCTAGGTAAATTTCTTGACCCAAATTCTAAATTTGTAGAATTTTTGTACCAACAAATGAAAAATTATATAATTAGTTTCAAACACCGCGTAAACAAAGTGGTGAGTATTAATCATTGTCCTAATTGCTTTTATTTTACACCTAGTAATATTAAGGATTCAGATATAAAAATGTATAAATTATTCAAAATTTCACATTAATGACTTAAGTTTATTTTATATGTGGATCCATATTTCATCAATTTAAATCCATCACACTTATTTATTTCTGAATAAATTATGGGTCCCAAATCTTGGAACCCTAAATTTTTTGTTTTACACGAGTGCTCTCTTATTTTGTATTTTTTTGTTTTGTTTCGTTTTTTTGTTTTTTTGTTTTTTTGTTTTTTTTTGTTTTTCATTTAAACAGTTAACAGTAATGTCATTGCCCAAAACAAACCACTCTGTTTCAAAACTAATGAATAAATGGGTGCAACATGTACAATTGTGGCAATTTTTTTCTAAATGCAGTAAATCGATGTTTTGTAACAATTTTAATGTTTTAAATTATTGTTAACCTTTTATTATCTTGATAATCTTTTCAACAATGATTCATCCCACTAAAAACATCACCACTAATAGCACTAATACATTAAAAAAGTAAAAAAAAAAAAAAAAAACACAACTCCAAGATCAAAACATCACATCATTAATGGCGCGATCCACTGCCACCTAATTAGTGGGAGCACTAATTAGTGCTCCCAAGCATTTTTCTAATCTTTTTAACAAAAAAATCTCATTTTTAGTTAACGATTTTGCCAAAGTTTAAACGTTAATCACTTGACTATTTATCTACAAATAATGAGGTTGAAAATTGAACTAATTAATTTAAATGAAACTAATGGTGGGACAAATGTAACTACAAAAATCATCTTATTTTTGTTTCACCTTTTGACCACTCTAAGGAGCTCTTTTACCCGATGTGATACTCGGATTCAAGTTTCATCATTGCTTTATAGTTTTTTAAAAAATAAATCTTATCAATCCATAATCAATATAAATAATAGAAATAAAGGCGTAAAGGTTAGTTTTCAATATAAAGGAACACCTTGAAAAGATGGTCAAAATTTAACTTTTAATTCATTTTGAATCACATCACTTCTCACATATTTTATTCAAAAAAAGTCAAAAAAAAATCAAAAATTAATTTTTAACCAATTTCTCAAAACACCAGAAAAATAATTATTCCTATGTTTAATATGGGGATATAATGAGCCCATGATAGATATCATATTTTCGATGTTATGATGAGCAGAACAAATTAATTATTCATATAGTTTTATAATATGGGACAAATATTCAATCCAATGATATCATTTTTCAATTTTATCTACTCTTTTACTTGTTATAGCAACTTTAATCATATTTTTCATTTTTTACTAGCTAATATATATAAAAAGAGGTAATTACTTGTTTTGCCTATTTTCTTTTTTATTTATGAATTTCAACGCTAATCTTTATTTTACTTATCTATATATACAAACTATTTAAAGAGTCTTTCAAAACTCTTCAAATATAGCTACCCTTAAATTTTTTTGTTAAAATAGCTATTGTAGTAACTAGTCTATTGGAGTGACTAAAATATGATAATACTTTCATAATATTATTTTTTCATGATCCTTAGCATTACTTGTACATCAAATGCTCTTTCTGTAAAGCAATATAGACAAAACAATAAGGAACCATTTGTTTGTTCCAAAAATATGAATTTGACAATTTAAAACTTATTCCCAAATTAGATAAATCAGATTTTTTTGATTCTACAATTAAAATAACTAAAAAAAATTGTACAAAATTTTGTTTGCTCGTGATAATTTTAATTTATTAATTTCTTTTAACACATAATATAACATTGAGAGACACCAAAAAATATTCATTTATCACATAGGAAAACTTCAATTAAGTTAGTTTAGGAATTGATAAGTTTTAAATTAGTTAATTAAACCGAAATCATTTCATTTATGCAATCAAAAGGGCACTATATAGTTAAATTTTTATAAAAATTTCATGATATTTTTTTCAAGATCCCTAATATTATTCTTGACGTGCATATTGACAGTTAGATAACAAAAACTCAAATCATTAAATAAGCCAAAAGTTTGTCCCCTCTGTTTTAATGTACTAATATTACTATTATTAGGCCACAATACTTTAATTTAATTTATTAACAACAAAGTAAAGTTAAAAATATATCAGATAACACTACAAGAATTAACACTTTTGCTGACCAAAAAATTGGTCGCTAAAAGCCCATTTTTGGTAGGCAAAAGTTATCCGCGACCAATTTTTTTGGTCGCTACTTTGGTCACCAATTGAAGGTCGGCAAAAGTAATTCGCGACCAAAATTTTGGTTGGTCGGGAAAAGTTAGATTTGTCGACTAATTTTTTGGTCGCTAAATATATCATTACTGTGACTAATTCATTTAGTCGCTAAAACACTTTGGTCTCGAAAAATGATATTTTCCTGACCAAATATGTTTGTCGCCAAAAGCAAAAAATCGGCGACCAACTATTTTCGTCGCCAAAAGTTGAGAAATCGTCAACTAATAATTTAGTCGCCAAAAGGTAAGGAATTGCCGACCAATGATTTTAGTCGCAAAAGTGTAGAATTTGGCGACCAATTATTTAGTCGCCAAAAGACATTAAACAATCAACGACTAATTAGTTAGTCGCCAAATCTCGTTTTTTTTTTTTTTTTTTTTTTTTTTTTTTTTTTTTTTTTTTTAACAATCAATTTTTGTTTATAAACATTCAATCCAATATTAAACAAAATTCATTCAACCCAACCCAAATATAACATTAAAATTCATCATATTTTCCTGCTTAATCCCAAACTTTACAATAATTCCATTCAAAACATTAATTGAGATAAGTTTTAAACATCCATCCATTGAAAACCAATAAGTAATTGAACAAAAATTAAAAGGAAAATCAATGAAGGAATCCAAAAAAAAACTAAAACTGGAAGGAATATATATGGTTTTGAAGCATCAGCCTTGTGTTTGATCGTTCTTTTCACCAAGCATGTTCTTTTCACCAAGCATCAGCCTTGTGCTTGATCAAGCAAAGAGACCTTTTCCCATACTCCCCATGTCCATTGCAATTACCAGTTGCGAACGCTGTCCAATATCTTCCAATGCTCTGACCATTAATCCATACTTGACCTTTTCCCATACTCCCCATGTCCAAAGCCAGAGGCTCGTCTCCGTCAGGTGCATTGAAATAAGCCTGCAGTGTTGGAAGACAGATTAAACTCGTAATGCCAATGAATCATTTCCCTATACATACTCAAATTGAGTCTTTCTGAAATTTATTTTAAATTTTATATTCTTTATATACTTTATGCCATGTTAATAGAAACAAATAAAATAGTTTTAAATAAACTAATTAGTATCAAAGGAACAATAAAATAGAAACAAATACAATCCCAAGTTTATAGTTTTTATTCTTCCCACCTCCAACATCTTATTAATCTTGCATGCAAGCATGGACACACACATGGCATAGATAACTAACACAATTTTAATTTAGTTTATTATGCAATCATTTGATGAATAAAATATAATGAAAATGCATAATCGATCAATTAATTAAGACATGCATACGTACCCATGAAGCAAAGGTGTTGGCATCATGTTCCTCATAGCCAAGTGATCCAGGCATCCTTTTGTCACAAGTCAATGTCCTGAAAACAATAATACATAAATGGAACAATTTACAAGCTAGGGAATCCTTTTATTTGCATCAATAATACTCTTTCTTTTTGCTGATCAAAAAAAGAGAGAAGATATTGATAACATATGTTGGATTAAAGAATAAGTTATGATGAGCGAGGTTTTAGGACTATAAATAATTAGCTCTCATAAATTTTACAAATTACTGACATACGTTATCTTTGATGATCTATAATTTGTCAAATTCGAACTGTCAGTTAACTCTGTTACCCCGCATCAGCATAAATCCCAATCTTGAGCCCTTTGCTATGGACATAATCTGCTAGAGTCTTCATACCAGATGGAAAAATTGTAGCATTTGGTACCAAGTTTCCCTGCATATATATAAGACAAATGCGGCCCAACATTGATATACGTATTGTAGATGTATGTATTTCAATCTTCTTCTAGTATATATTAGTGCATCTATATATATGTATGTGTGTATGTGTGTGTGTGAGAGAGAAATTAATTTAATCAAACCATCAAAAACTTTTGATACGTATATAATTTTGAGATGCTTGATTAGAGTGAATTGTTGAGCATACACTTATGCTTGCTAGAGGCCATAGTTTTAGTTCCAACACCATCTAAACCACCAAGTCCTTTTGTTTTTAAAATTTTCTTATTTCTACTTACAATGAGACCCACCACCAACAGTGAGTATGGGGATGAAAAGTTAATCATTTCTCATATAAGTATTTTTAATTAGTTATTAAATACTCAGGATGTTAAATACTCAGGATGGCAAATAGCTGGGTATTGGTCGGTCCAAAAAAGTCTACGTGACTGTGTGTGACGTAATTAAGGACTTAGCATCCTCTCTAAGCTGAAAATTTATTTTTTTTTGTTCCATATGGTAGAGTAACCTAAGAAACAATATTAAGATCGGTCGAGGCCATATTTAGGGTCATTTTTCCCTTCTGTAATCCCTTTTAATTGTATTTTCGAAATAAACCACTATATTTTTGTAAAAAAAAAATTGCTAAAATAACTAAGGGGGCAGATGAAAGTGTTTTCATTTTTGAATTGGTACAGATATCCATCATTTTAGCACATATCAGCTTGAAAGGGCGGCATGTGACTAGATACACTTCTAAAATGAAATTATTTGGCAATGTACCTGAAAGTTGTCCGTTTATGAACACATGCAGAGCATGCCCCGTTGACTGCACTATGAGAGTAGGCAGTTCACCAGCACGCAAGAATGATTCAGATGAACCGATATCAACATCATTGCATAGAGTTCGCAACCAATAGAATAGCACTTAAATTCAAGCAAAGAGAGGGGTATAAAAAAAGCAGAACACAGGGTAGAAATTCTTTATGGAATGAAAGATCATTTGTTCTGTTAGAGGTAATAAAAAGTGATAAGGCACTATGCTAACAATAGAAAGCAAATTAAATACGTCCATATCATCAAATCTTGAACTCCTATAACAACCAAATAGGTAATGAGTTAATGACTTCTATTAAAGGAAAGTGAGAAATCCTGGAAAAGCAACATACAGCTCTTGGACATGCAAGTAACCATCAGCCATGACCGAATCAAAGCATAAAACTCCTCTCCATTTGGATGTACATGGATCCCCTTTATTCTAATTATTCAGATGGTTTATAGGATCAACTAAATTGCTCTTGATCGCTATTAATGCGGAGACTGCAAAGAGAACAAATCATCAGCTAATTCTCATCATAAACTAATTTACAAATAGAAGGTCCAAATATCTCCACAGCAAGCATGAAAATGGGAAGTAGATAGTATCAGTCCCATTCCTTGTTAAATGCACAAATAATGTGAGACACACACACTCATCAAAATATAATTAATTTTAAAACCTATTATCCCTAATATTACACACAAACATGTATACACAACATGTAATTGCTTCAGTTATCAATATGTTTTAAAGGAAAAAATATAGAATGATTCTCAGTTCTATTTTGGCACTAGAAGTGAAAAAATAATAAATTAGATGCAATGACCTTATCGCATGTATTGAAATCAAAAGAAGTGGATGAAGAAGTCAAGGCTTGTAATCTACATCAGTGCATGCTTGCGAATTAACTTATGTAGCTGGTTCAAATCATGGGAAACAATAGTTATCTAGAAAATTCTTGTGTGACCGCAAAGTCCATAACCCGCTATCAGAGAGGGATACACACCATATCCCATTTAACCAAGTGAAAAGTTCCTCTAAAGTTTCTCTAACCTATTCACCACCAAGACAGGAATGGTCAAGAGAGGGACAAAATAAGAAGGAAAACTACATAAAGTACTCTTAATTAGAGTTAGCCTTCATCCCTTTGAAGAAATGAACCCAAATGGAATCAATCCACCATGTGTCTGGCACAACCCACTAAACCCTTCACTCTCAGCAATAGTCAATCAAGAAATGGACCAAATCCCTCTCTCCGTACCAAAATTCACCGCATTATATATATAGAGAGAGAGAGAACGAGAGAGACGATGGCAAGGCTAGAAGAGGGAGGGCAGAGAAACAGAGAGCAAACGGGATAGACCAGACTTGAAGTGAGAGAGAACCTGTGAATGCGGCGCGGGGGCGGGGCATTCTTGAGCGGCAACAGCAAGCGGTGCGGTGACAGTGGCGCTAGCAGTGGCGTGCGACGCTGGTTTTCAGCGCTGAGGTAGATTGGGTGAGGATCCCCCAGAAAATGAGGAAGTCCATTAGACAGAGGGGCGGGAGGGCGATGGCGATGGCGATGGAAGTGCGACGGACCGTTCACAATGGGTGGTAAGGGACTTTTCAGGTGAGCTTAGAGAAGTAGGGCACCTGATTTGGGGAGGAGAACTAGAGGAGGGAAGCGGATCAAACATTACACAGAGAGCAAGTTGGAGCAGAGAGAGATCAGGCTTTTTTAATTTTTTTTTTTGTTTCCCCCAGGAATACAACGACCGTCGTTTTTTGATTGCCCGACCAAATTTTTTTTGTGCCAAAAAATGTCATTTCCTCCCTCATGTTTGAATTTTCCATCCAAACTTTTTGGCGATCCAAACACCATATTAGTCAAAAAAGGTACCGTTCCTCGCTGCATCGCCGCGCAAATTTTTAGGTCGGGCCATTCAATCAATCGCGAACTAAATATTAGTCGCTAGTACAAATTTGGCGACCTAATTTTTTTGGTCGCCAATTATGTACTTCTGCACAAAAAATTTGTAGTTGGTCGCCAAAAGCATACAGACTTTCTGCGACTTACTCATTTTTGGTCAACCAAAATGTACTGCGTTGACCAACTCATATTTTGGTCGAAAAATATTGATCATCTTCGCGACTATTAATATTGGTTCGCCAAAATGTCATTTTTTTTGCGACCAAAATTGTTTTGGTCGGCAAAAGTGGTCGCACATTCGGTAAATTCTTGTATGTATTAACAAGTTTATATTGTATAGTTAAGAGTAATATGCTATGTTTTCCAATCCCACATTTTGAATATTGAAACAATCAGTGGTATACAGATATTTGGTAAGACATCGGGCTCATTTGGGAATTAATTAAAAGTCAAAATTTTTTGACTTTTTAAAATCTATGTTTGGTCCATATCATTTCTTATAATTTTTACTGCTAAAAGAACAAAAAGTAAAAGTAATTTTAACCAACTTTCCAAAGACTCAAATTCATTTGTCAAAGTTTGAAATTATGAAATTTGTAAATTTTAATCACTATCTTCTTAATGATTATCTTCAAATTTGTATTGACAATCTGAAGAGTTTTTATTGTTGTTTAATTTTTCAGTGTGCATTACATAAGAAGGGGAAAAAAAATTTAGTCAAAATCCCTTAACATTCGACTCTTATTGGTAAAAAAGGACTTCTATCTATATTGTTTCATAATCCCATACGGAGGAGGCGTATAATAGATAAAGACAAAATAAAATATTTTTTTCTTTTCCTTGAACCAATGTTGTCAAATCTAATATGTTTTATTGTGAAATTAGAGTTAATATGTTACTGTCAAAGAGAATAATATTCTTAACTATTTCAATAATTTCGATATAAATTCATTTTTTAAAAAATTTTCAATGATCATATGAATATTAATTGATACATTTGTGAGAAGAATTACTAAGAATACTATTTTATTAAATTCCGGATCCTTAGATCAAAAGTTATATTTATGTAAAGTTTATATTTAGTAATAGTTGATATGTATTAAATTATTCAAACAAACTTTTATAAATCTTATGTATTAACAATTTGATTGCGAAGAATTTTGAAAATCCTCAAAAAAAATAAAAAAAAAATTCAATCCTCATTGTCGATGTACTAACTTTGACAGCATGACTTTAACCTGGAACG